TCTTCCATTTTTCCTATTATATGTATTAGTGTAGAAGTTTGGTCTCCTGTTAGCATATTTATGGTTCTACGAGTTTTACAATCACAAATTTCTTGGCCTAAACAATATTCATTATCGCTTTCTTCTTTTGAGCTATCGATTTCTAATTGTTCTAATTCTAATTCACTGCTAATTTCTTCCTCAGATTCTATGAAATCTTCAGATTCCTCCGGTTCCGAATTAATTAATATATTTAATAGACTCTCTTTTAATTTTTCATCTTGAATTTGGTTTATTTTTTGGATTACTTTACAATTATTGGCATAGTGACCTAATTTACCACATTTCCAGCATACATTATCTCTTTTCTTTTGTTTATTATGTAATGGTTTTCTTTTAGGTTTTTGTTCTATTGTTTTACTTTGTGTTTTATTATAGGGTTTTTTATATGGGGTTTTGTATTGAGTTCTATTGGGCTTTGTGGCCTTTTTGATAGCTTTTTTGTTTTTTGCACTAGGAGCTCTAATGGGTTCCATCCCGTATTGTTGACAAAAAGATCCTATTTCTTTTTTATTAATCATGCTATCTTTTCTGATTTTATTTTGTAATTTATAATCAGTACATATTTGTAATCCAGTTTCTACTATTATATTATGTATTTGGCCATAGGTTAATGTATTGTAAGGTATTGGGTTTCCATAATGTTTTTCTATATTCATTTTTACTTTTTCAGCAAATAATTTTGGTAATCCGGCTAAGAATCTCTCTTTCCAAAAACCAGCAAATCCATCTGGTCTTAATGTTATTTTGGATAAGAAATTATCTTTATACCATCTGTAGTCAGACATTGTTGGACAATATAGGTTAGCTAGTTGATTGGTCGCTCTATCCTTATATATATTAGGATCTCCTACAAAATTATTAATTATGGTATAAATTAAAGTAGATACTGCATTTTCTTGGTTTCCTTACTGGTTTTACACTATTTATTATCATTTGTTTTTCTTCATTGGAACAAAGATTATCCCACCAACCTTTCAGTTGGCTGGTAAACCCTTGTATTATAATTATGGCAGCTGATTTATCACTACTTCCTTTAATCTTATAGGCAGTTGCGGCCATGGTCATTTGGCATGTTAAATCTAATATGGCTTGTTCACTAAGTCCATCTAGATTCCATTCTACTATTGAATCTCCAGAAAATGAATTTTGAATATATTCACTTCTTTCTTCAAATTGTATATCAGCAGCTGTGGGTCTAGGATAATAATTTCTAAGTTTTGGATATGATCTAAGTTTTTCTATTGATAAAGTATTTATCATGTTTTTATTTAAGTTTAGTTCTTCAAACATTCTTTTTAATTCGTCTATTTTTAATCCAGTATTATCTCCTAGTTTAATATCATTTAATTCTTCTTGAGGTATTTCTAGTACTTTATATATTGGACTTTTAGGTTTTTTAGACTTATTTGAACTATTAGCATTTTCTGATTCAGTTTTGTTTTCTATCCTATCTAATTGTTTTGACATTACTTCTAGCATGGTATTAGAATAATTTAATTGAGAGTTTATTTTTTTAATATCTCTTTTTTCTATAGGCTTATCATCTATAATTGTATCTTTGTATGGACTAGCTTCTACATCTAAGTCTTTTGAATGATTTATTATTATTCTTTGTTGTGGTGGATATTCTGATTCTATTATTTCATTTTTTAATGTTTTCCAACTAGTAGTTGTTTTAATTAATGGATTTAATTCTTTATCTGTTAAAAGGATATTCTAATTGGTTTATTTTACTATATTGTGAAAATCAATCAAAAAAATAAAGGTTTATCTCTTTTTGTTCCATATAATTATAAAATTCTTCTCTAAATTTTATAGTTTCTTCTTTACTATAAGTTTTAAAATACCAATCTCTTTTATCTTTATTATAGTTAGCTTCGAAATCTTTTCTAATCCAATCTTTATCTATTTCGAAAGATTCTACTTTATTTAAGGTATTTAAAATTTGTGAGGCTGTTGGAGAATATTGAGGTGATTCCGATTTCTTAGATTCTTCATATACTGGTCTTGTAACTATAGGAGTTACATTATGTATTCCTTTTAAATCTAAATTTAATGTTGATCCATCTATTGAGTGTCTTGAGGATTGTCCTTTGTGAATTACTTGTGGTTCTCTTATTGTTAAAGAGGATGATCTATTCATTTTTAATCTAATATTTGGGCCTTCTTGTATTATTTCTCTAATTTGTGTATTATATATTTTTGGTTCTTCTATAATGTTTTCTAATTTCCATTCTTCAGGTATATGACTAATAATTTCATTATGACTTAATCTTTTAGGTGTTTGAACGGATGATTTTTTAAGATTGGCTTCTACCAAGATTGTTTCTTCTTTGGATGAAGATCTTAGGGCTCTATAGTTGTAATCTATTTTTGTCACTTTATAATAAATTCTATATATAATTTGTATTGGACCATATTCCTCATCTACAATTTCATCAGGAATTTGTACATATAATTTTATAGCATTGCTTGTTTTATCATTTCTAATATTCATAGAAAAATTAGGGTAACAATTAAAGAAAGCGGGACCATCATGTAAGTTACTTTCTAATATGGCTATTATGGAATCATTAAATTTTTTAAGTCTTATATCACGTAATAGTATTAATATTGGACTATTAATTCCTATTCTATAATTAGGTTTAGCGGCTACTTGTATTAATCCTAGATGTATAAAATTATATCCCTTTCTAATATGTTGGTCTAATATATTTTGTTCTAGAATATTTATTATTTTATTATTTTTAGTACCTGGATAGCTATACTCTACTATGTGTATTTCATCTTGGTTGACATTCCGAATTTATGTTGTTTATAAACTTCACATTTTTTTATTATAGGTATTGACCAATTATGTAGGGAGTTTTCTATTTCTGCAATTTCTAATTCTTTATCTTTATTATCTTGTTGATAAGAGGAAGAGGCTTCTTGCTGTGGGGTTCTTACTACTATCTGTTTATCCTTATTTCTTAATCCTAGATCGCTTAAGGTTCTTAAGAAATTAGGCATTCTTGTTCTCTCACGGGTTTCCATGCTACGGGACCATCTTTACCGATCACGCTAAACCAACGGCTTTACTCGCCTCTCTCGAGTCTTACTACCGGACCACGTGCTCCTAGGGTCGACCAACGTATAAGTACCTCGCGAGTACTACACTTATACCCTTAAAGAACCAGAATGTCTAAACTCTTAATTACTTAAGGATTTTTAGATTAAGATACAATTTTAAACAAATATTAGTTTGAACCTAAGCCCAAAGATTCCCTGCTTCTCTTAATTTTCTTTTAAGATATCTAATATTACATTGATACCAGATTTTTATCCAATTATGTAAAATTGGGTCGTTTTGTTTCAATTCAGTTTTATTCATGTGCTTTCTAAATTTTCTTTTAAGACAGCATATTCTTCTAACCATACTAATTGTTGGATTTGGACTATGTTCTGGTCTGAGATTAGCATCATTTAAATTATTAACAAACTCTAATCCTGGTAATACAGGGTGTGGAAGATGAGCGAATTGTTCTCTGGATGGTGAGTCTAACATATTATAAGGGTTTGGTGCATAAATTGGATATTCTATTATATTATCCCCCAAAAGAAAATTTAGAATAATTTTATAGAAAAGATATAGATACAATAAAAATATAATTCTAGCAAATATTGAGAAAATGAGATTGCAAATCATTCAGATAATTAAAACTATTGATATAAATCAATAGTGGATCTCGAGAGCGTTTTATATATACTCGCAATTTTATATATACTCTGAATAAAATTTAGATATTTAGAACTTAGAAAAAGTTCTATGACCTTTTATTATATCTAATTTAGAACTTAGAAAAGATACAATTGTATATTAATTATTTAAGCAATTATATCTAATTATAAAATATATAAAATCTGTGGAATGATATTTATATATTTATATATTTATATATTTATATATTTATATATTTATATATTTATATTTTTATATTTTTATATATTTATATATTTATATATTTAGATATTTAGATATTTAGATATTTAGATATTTAGATATTTAGATATTTATATATTTATATATTTATATATTTACACGAATTAATATAAGTATAATTTAGTTGTAAATTATTATTAGAATATCCTAATAGTTTAGTGGTTGAAGTATCAGTTTTCAATTTTAAGGTACTCGGGTTCGATTCTTGTTAGTGACAATTTTTTTAGTTTAATATAATTTATCTACGGATAGTAATTCCGTAGGTAATTACCTATGGAATTACCCATGGATGATATTACCTACGGAAAATATCCGTAGGTAATGGATAATTACTTACGGATAGAATTCCGTAGGTAATATCTGTAGGTAATGTACACTTTACCTATGGATAGTAATTACGTAGTTAATTACCTACGGAATTATCCACGGATTACATTACCTACAGATAATATCCGTAGGTAATGGATAATAATTACGGATAGAATTCCGTAGGTAATATCCGTAGGTAATGTACAATTTTCCTACGGATTTTTATCCGTGGGTAATATCCGTAGGTAATATCTGTAGGTAATGGATAATTACTTACGGATAGAATTCCGTAGGTAATATCCGTAGGTAATGTACAATTTACTTACGGATTTTCATCCGTGGGTAATATCCGTAGGTAATGTAAAATTTACCTACGGATTTTTATCCGTGGGTAATATCCGTAGGTAACGTAAAATTTACCTACGGATTTGTATCCGTAGGTAATATTCCGTAGGTAATAGGCTTTTTTTTTGTAGTGTTTACTATTATAAATTAATTTGGTGACCAAACTCATTCCTAAATTAGTGATAAGAGAAAAAATTGAGAATTTATATGATGAATTTGGAGTTCTCAAATATTTACATTTATGTTGTTTAATAATATCTAACTAATCCTTTCTATTTCAGCTTCAATGTATACCTAAAACCTTTTGTACTTTCTTTTACAGGAGTTAATTGGTCTAGGGGCTCGCACACTCATAGTTCCAGGGAATTTACCAATTGGATGTAGTGTAACCTATTTAACAATTTATGAAACCATGGATAAGAACCAATATGACCAATCTGGATGTTTGAAGTGGTTAAACGAGTTTGCTGAATATTACAACCATGAGCTCCAAAGTGAATTAGATAAGCTTCGAGGACTTCATCCTCAAGCTAATATCATCTATGCTGATTATTACAATGCTGCATTGCCTTTGTATCGTGATCCTACAAAGTTTGGTAATTCCTTTTTTCATACAATTGAATACTCGAACCTGTCCGCCTCGGATAATGTATTCATATTAGTGTATCTTCATATCTTCATACTTCAGCAGAACACATAACTTCATACCTATAATTTTGAGATTCGTATGCAGGTTTTACTGGTCTGAAAATCTGTTGTGGAATGGGAGGTCCATACAATTACAATGCATCAAGACTTTGTGGCCATCCAAGCGTGATTGCTTGTGATGATCCTTCCAAGTATATTGGATGGGATGGCGTTCACTTAACTGAGGCTGCATATAAATTCATTGCTCAAGGTTTAATAGAAGGACCTTATTCTCTCCCTCAATTTAGTTCGTTGTGTTTCACGAATGTAAGTTTTGGCTATTTCAATAGCTGAATTATTTCTTCTTTTGAATAAATTAATTCAACGGTTACCAGTACAACAAGGTTCGCATACATATATTTTAAGAATATGAAGTGTGGTCTTTTAAGATTGAATATGATATCAAAACTTTTATTGCTTGGCAAAAAAAATAAAAAAAAATGCTTATTTATATTAATAAAAATTCAATGGAAATGTACAAATAAATCCTCGCTCTCTTTCGGTGCTTCATTGTTGTCCTTGATTTCCTTAGAGGAAAAGAATGACATCTTTCAATTTCTTCCGCTAACATTACTCTTGCCTCTGACATTAACTCAACCTCGTGTCCTTTTACCTAAACCTTCGTAAAAACTTTTATCCAATTTTCTCGTATCAAACATTCTTATCGAGCCATCATAACTAATTTGGTCTAAGTGGATGGAAAGGTGTGCCGGAGACAGAAGGGCATTATGGGTAACTGGGAAAAGGATGAACAACTAACGGATAAGAAAAATAAAATAAAATATAAGTAAATAACTTTATAACTAACTTAACTGAAGGCTTAAAAGGTTTTCTTAAATTTGGTAAGGGAGACGGTGATTATTATTGCGAGTGATTAAAATTATAAATAAACAAACAAATATATTTGATACTTATTAACCTAAATATTTTATTTAACAGTAAGAGTGTTATTATTTTCATACATGTTAGGACAGAATTATTAGAATTTATTATCATGTTCGTTTTAATAATCCAGTATACTTATAAGTGTATTATAAATTAAATTAAAAAAATAATATCAAACAAATAATAAATCATTAATTAAATTTTGGATGAAGAAATAATAATAATAATATTATGTCACTTATTTATTTTAAATATATAAGTATTTGATAATAATTTTTATTAATATAATAATAAAAAAAATCTTCGTTCACAATTTTTTTTATTTGATCGAAATTGATTGTGAAATAATAATTTTTTATTATTGAATTTTAGTTTTTTTTTATTATTGAATTTTATTTTTTTATTATTATTGAATTTTATTTTTTTTAATATTTAACCCAACTAAAGTGTAGTTGATAAAGATATTATTTCATCTCAATCTCTTGATTTTGTTTAAACTGTTAAAAGTAAGAATTTTAAGATATCAAAATGTGACAATTTATTCTCACCTTAAGATGAAGAACATGTCACATCTCTTAAGCCTTCCTCTTATGAGAACTTCATTATAATCTCTACAATGTTTACTTGAGCTCAAATAGAAGCTTGCCTTTGAAGCCCGTGCTAGGATGATAATAGGATTTTATGTAGATGCAACACAGATTACCCTCTTTGACTCAACAATGCGCCACAAATTTGTAGCTTTGGTTGAAAGTAAAAGGTGTGAAGCAAATTCTTCAACTTGATTGAAAAAATAAGGGTGCGAGACAAATTCAAGACTCTGGCTAAAAGTGAAATTGTAGGATGAATTTCCAACTTCAACTAAAACCAGAGGTACAAAAGATGGATTCTTGACTTTTAACATAAACATTTTCAAACAAAAATATTTCAATATTTGTAGTTTCTTAAATTAAAAATTGTATTTCCCACCAACAAGTCTCGCAAAAAGTTTTAAATGCGACTAAATTTCTAAAGAATGTTCTTTGAATGTTGTGGATATTGCATATTTGTGGTGTCATACCTGGCTTTTCTTTTCTATTGTTTTCTATTTCTACTGTACCTTAGAAGTCTCACATTAGAATCAAATAATAAAGGTTGGAGACTAGTCTCGGAGCAAAAACGGGCATTGGCATACATGTAAGAAAATTAAAAAACATTATGTATAAGCAACGTGTTTCGGGTGAAAATTTAATCGATTTCGATTTTTTAGGTTCTGATCAAATCTCGACCACGTAGATTCTTTTCATTTAGGCTAGCGACAATTTTCAATCAAAACGTGTATAAAAATTGAAAATCTCATAGTATCAGGAAACGCTAACGATGCAACCTAGTGTGCTAATTGACAATCGAAAGTACTATTTTTTGATATTTTTTATTAAGAAACTCGAAATAAAGACAACAATAAAAAAGAAAATATCAAATCGAAGAAATAATGTAAAATATCAAATTGCGGAAAAATTATAAAAATGCGGAAACCTCAAATTGCTTTAAATGTAAATGGCAAAGAATTGAAATTGCAGAAATGTAAATAACAGGAAATCGAAATTACAAAAACGGTAAATGCATGAGAATTTAAGTACAGAATCTTGTATTGCATTGAAGAAAATGACAAAAATTTAAAGTACATGAACTTAAATTGATAATTATAAATAAGTTACAAGGGAAAGTAAAGAAAGCGGTAAAAACAGTCAATGAGAATGAAAATCCAGATCGCCAGAAATTTCATGATTCGTCGTTCTCCGGTAGACTTTTCACTTGTGTTTCTGTTGTCTCTGCCAATTTCCCCTTTTTTCTTCAAGCTTCGTTCTATTTATAGGCATCCTTCAATATAACCTCCCAAGAGCAATTAAAAACATGTCACCACGTTTCATGTGCACGTTCCTCGATTTTTACCTTAGCTTACGTTTTAGAAAACCGCTTCCGCGTTCCATGTGCATTTTAATCGTTTCTCTCGATCTCAATTCCAGTTATCGAGTACGATTTCCTTTATCCTTGACTTTACATTATATTTTATCATTACTTTCATCGATTTATTTTTCTCTTTTCTTTTCTGATTCTCGATTTCTATTCTCAATTTATCTATTCTTATTATCTCATGACCACCGAGTATCTTTCAATCATTTTTCTGATTTACCAACTTTTTAACTAATAATATGATATTCGATTTTCTTTATTCTATTTTTGGATCTTGTATCGATTTTTCACTCAAACAATGTCACGATTCTTATTAAAGAATTAAAAAGGTACAAACAAACCACGGCGCTGACGAAAAGAATGGCCGGATTCAGAAACCAGGAACGGTATTAGTGGGAATGAGTCCAACTTAGTTCTCTCAAATACAATTTTTTGCATCTTCGTTCGGTTCACTTTTTCCTATTAAAACGTCAGAAAACCCATATCCATCCACCGACTCGAATAGTCTTCCCTGCACACAACCTTCACATTTGGGGTGTATAGTGTTATCATCTTTATTTTCGTGATTCAGATTTTTTTTTTTAATATAAATATTTTGTATGGAGAATTCAAAACTAATTTCTTGATGTATAAATATATTCCTAACACAACATGTTAACCTAATATAATTACATATTATGGAATAAAAGATAAAATTATTTATAAAATAGTTTAGTTTATTGACATTCACGCAATACTTTTAAACAGTCATATATTTATCTATGAAATTGAAAAATGTGCCATTTTAAATTTGCAACAAAAAAAAAATTGAAAAACACATAAGAAAATAGAAAATTTGACATATTATGAAAAACTATAGAGAAAGTGGTTTGTGGAATGGTGGCACAGTTGTCTGTTTTTGGAACCTGCGAAGAAATGGCACATGGTTTCGGAAACCCCTTCATCATAAACCCCTCCCTCGCTCCACACTCGCACAAACCAACTATCCAATCCCTTCAAAACCAAAACATCGTAACATGGAAAGTGCCACTCAAGTCGGCGCGGCGGCTCAACCCTCCTCGGCTCCCGCGCCGGTGCGTCCTTCCGCCTTCGACGGCACGCTCGGCCGCCACCTTGCTCGCCGCCTTGTCGAAATCGGCGTCAGGGACGTCTTCTCCGTCCCCGGCGATTTCAACTTGACGCTTCTCGACCACCTCATCGCCGAGCCATGCCTCAACCTCGTCGGCTGCTGCAACGAGCTCAACGCTGGCTACGCCGCCGATGGCTACGCACGTGCTAGGGGCGTCGGCGCGTGTGTTGTCACCTTCACCGTCGGCGGACTCAGCGTCCTCAACGCCATTGCCGGAGCTTACAGCGAGAATTTACCGGTGATTTGCGTGGCTGGAGGACCCAATTCCAACGATTACGGCACCAACCGGATCCTCCATCACACAATCGGGTTACCTGATTTCTCCCAAGAGCTTCAGTGCTTTCAAAGCATCACGTGTTTTCAGGTGAGTGAACAGTGCGTGTTTTAGTTTTGATTTTTGAGGCTGAGAATGAAATTGAACAATCTCTGATTAGTATCAGTGCTGATGATTCTTCAGGCAGTGGTGAATAACTTGGACGATGCGCATGAACTAATCGACACTGCCATTTCTACTGCTTTGAAGGAAAGCAAGCCTGCTTATATCAGCATCAGTTGTAATCTTCCTGGAATTCCTCATCCAACTTTTGCAAGAGACCCCGTTCCATTCTTTCTTGCACCCAAGTATGTTTTTCTATTTTGTTACTTAATCACTTTTAACAAAAGATATTCTTGTTTTTGTTTTACTCCTGAATTGTGATCCTAGTAGCAAGAGGATGAATGAAGCTTCAATTATGCTTTGCTTCATTAATGGTTATGACTTCTAACTCTTTCATTTATATGAATAATGTTATACTACTTTCCTACGAAAAAAAAAATAGTAAATAGTCCCTTTTTACGCATTCATCTTTCCAGAAATTAAAATATAAGGGTAGTTTACTGACATTTACAATAATTATTCTAAAACATTTGAACCCCATTAAAGAATTGAAAATAGTAACTTTGGAGACTAGTTAGAAAAAATATATATTTCTTTTGGTCCTAATTAAAAAATAGTTAATTTAGTTAGTAACATTATATTTATTATAAATTTATATTTTTTTTTCAAGATTATCAGTAACATTAATGACGCATTCTTTCATTTCATTTTTTTTATTAGTAATAATTCTTTTAATCTTTTCATTATTATTTTAATTTTTAGTTGTTTTGTAAATAGTCTAAGATAAAATTAAACTATCAATGAGTAGTTAAGTCAATTTGATTGAGCATGATGTATAAGTTGTTTAACTTTTACTGAAAAAAAAATGTTGGATATTAATGTAATTTACTTATTTATTGATGAGAAAAACATGACTCAGTTAAGGCCATTTTTTTGAAAAATAAATTAATGTGA